ATACACCAGAGACAGAGCGGGGAACAGAACAGGCAGACTGACTGAAACACACTGCTGAGGAGAGCAGCGGGAGAGACAGGAGAGGTCTGCTGCTCCATATGGGTAGCTCTCCGGCCTGGGATTGAACTCAGACTATAGTGGCTGGCAATAGCTTGATAGAGCTGAGACTTTAATCCCTGTGCCTGGCAGCTGCTTCTTACTGTTCATTTACGACCTCCGTACCTCCATGTACCAACCACTTTGCTGGATGCATGCAAGATGTGTACACTCCCAGCCATTCCTGCGACTTTGTAAATAAGAATACCTGCTCCATTCCTTCTCCATGATTGTTCCAGGAATCAAGTCATAAAGAAAGTGTGGAGAAATATGAATGTCCTTTTCCAAAGACAAAAGCAACTGCATTTGGAAAGCAGGCTTAGCATTAATTTCTTTTTGCTGAAACTGACATGATGAGGAAAAATTTAATCCAGAAGACACACTATAACAACCTTGGAATAAACGCCACCAAGTGCCGGCAAGTATCTAGAATTCCATTTGCCAAAATAACCGATGTGATTCTATGGCTCTTTATACTGTCACGTTAACTCCAGCCCTGTTGTCATAACTCTATGCTTGTTTATTTTCCTCCAGAGTAGGAATGAATGTTTCCTTTTCTAGGACTTGCTCTCCCTCTACCAGAATTTGGAAAACTAATCTTTCTAACACTTCAACATACTTATTTTTATTTTTTGAACATGTACTATTTTGCAGAAAATGATTTATTTTACATCTATATTCATTAGTCCTTTTCTTAATTGCAATGTTCAGTTCTGGATTCATTCTGCTATAATATTTATATTACAAAGATCACAAAACTAATGCAATTGTCACTTTTATTTTCAAGAAATGTTTTATTGTAGAAAAATTAGCCTAAAAGCAATTTGTGAAAATATTAAAAAGCACCATGTTTCTTTTAGCACAATAGGCAAATTTTGAAGAAGATAGGATCATAGTAATATGATAGTAATCTGATTTTTGCAGTCATTTCTTGACCACCCACTCTGACCTGAGTTCCAGAATTTAATGTTTACCATCTGTTTTACCATAGGCAAATTACTTCCTCTTTCTGTACCTCAGTTTCTTTATCTATAGAATGGGGAAAATATAAAATACTTGTGAAGCACTTAAGTATTTGTTACTTCATTTAATGTTCTAAAAAATTGTGTAACATAGTTGTCCTCTGTTACCTCTGATGAAACTGAACTTAGCTTCTAGACTAAAGCAGCGAAACTCTTGTTAAGAAACAACAAAGTGATGATCCAAATACTCTTTATTTCAAAAACGGTGCTCTTTTCTTGGACTGAAAATGCAGGATTAGAAAGGATTTCCATTGAAGAACTCAGTAACCTAAGTGTTAATGCCAGACTTTATTATTATTCAACGCAATCGTCCTTATCCTAGTTATTTGGACACTCTGGCCCCAGAATTTCTTAGTATCTGTGTTTGCAGGTCAGGGCTCAGAGAACTTCTTGTAAACAGTTTCAAAATACAAAAGCTCCATTTCAAAGGTAAGCAAAGCCACACTGACTTTAAAGTCAGAAAGTTCCGTTGCCCTGCGCCCTGGCATGCTTTGTGTGCTAGAGGTCAAGTTTTCCCAGAGATAAGGGGGACTTAACTAGGAAGTTCTCAAAGCAGGAAAGCTTAGCATGGGTGCCCCTGAGGTCATCAGTGGGGAGATGGCCTTGGGAGTGGTTTTATCTAAGTGGACTTGCCACCGGAGTCAGGCGTGAGCAAATACACGCTCTTTCTGCCAAAGGTCACGTGCCCGGGGAGCCCCTGACATAACTGAGTCTGCTTCTGACCATGGCACCTGCCATGAAGAAATGATCCCAATATCCAGGGAGTGAAGGACACAGAAACTTCCTTTGGGAGGTGTCTGTGATTTAGTGCCTTAAGATTCAGGGTAGTGTCATGTGCGGCTACTCCTTCTCCCCCCATCTCTCCCTCCCTCCCACTTCGCTTCCCTCCTCCTCTCTTCTCCCTCTTCATTTATCTCCTCCTCTGTACCCATCCTCTCATAAAAGATTAATCAGTCCATTTTATTCAATCCATGTAGTTCAAAGCCTATTCTGTCCTGTTTACAATTTTTATTATAAACAGGAACCTAATAAGACTGCTTCACATCAAGCCACGTACCTCTCAAAGCGACGTGCATACCATTTTCTACCCCTGCCCAGCACACTCACATCTAGAAATGATATTTCCTTTAAAAACATCCTGAAAAGAGTCCACGTGGGTTTCAGCAGAATGGAATCGAAGATGCAGCAAAATGACGGTTGTTGCTCCCATCACTTTCCAGTCTTGCCCCTGGGAGTGCTCCTGGGAGAAAGAAGGCTGGTTTGCAATCAGATGTGCAGATTGTGCTCCTAGCCCAGCTACTCCTGAGCCCAGCCGGGCACCGGGGGACCCTCATCCTGCCTTCAGAAAGTGGCAGAACCAGCCCTTCCCAGAGCCATCCTCGCCTCTATGCTGGGTGTCTGAAGAGAAAGTCCACTTCCTTGGCCAAATACTGAGCGCACGGTCATTCTGTCACAGGTCCAGAAGCCAGGGTGAAGTCCTCGAGCTGAATAGCTAACACAGCCTCCCTTTGTGGTCAGGAGGACAGGCCATCATTGCCTGCCTGAGGGTGTTGTGTAAACTTGACCACCACGGTCATATTCACCCTCAGTCTCTTTGACTAAAGAAATGCAGTTCTGAGAATCTTCCTTGAGAGCCTTTCTCATTAAGCTTCTCCAAGACTCACCTCTGAGTCCAGAGATAATTTTCTCTTCTTTGGTAATTCAGGCCACATGGGTAGAACCCAAATCCAGTGAAGGCTTCAGTCATTTTTCAATGAGTGGCCTATTGTGCTTAAATTCAGGGAAAATTGCTTAATTCTCAGCTCTACCCTCGGTGCATAGACTTAATCTAAAATCCCTTAATTCATAAAAGAATCTTCAAGATTCCTCACTTTAATTCCACTCCTCCACCCCCACCCCCAGCATTAGTAGTAGAGCAACTAGAAAGTAGAAAGGGAGAAGGATCTACTTATATAACCAGAGAAAGAGAGAAGATGTGTCTTGATTATAGTAAGTACAAAATATATCGTGCCGTTGCTGGATTGTGGATGTGAGGCTAGTGCAATTTCACAAAAAGAACTCAGAATTGAGCCATGGGAAAACTGAGTTGGAAGTTTCTTCCTACTGGTTGAAAAAGTGAAGACTTCTTAATTAATTAATTAATTAACTGGTTTTATCATGGAACCCTTGGAAGACCTGCTCAGTACTTTGAAACTGTAATCATATTTTTACAAACTTGGAGGAAACAAATACCAGAGCTTGGCCTCAGGTAATGATTCTCCCTCAGTCTATCCCTGCAGTCTTTTCCTACACTGACATCCACAGAACCCATTAGTTATGCATTAGGAAGGAAACGAACTAGCAAGTTATATTTTTAATGTTCAGAATACTAATTGCCCCATAGAGCCTTGAGAGTAAAATCAGAATAGTGTTGGGGAGTTTAATCAACTGGTAGTGTAGCTTCATCTTGTTCTCGGTTTTCGTGAAATGCTAAAATTATCCCCAGCTCCTCAGAGCGTTATTTGTCATTCCATATGGTTTATATCCTAGCAATCTAGCAATTCATCAATCTGTTTACATACTGATGTTATACTTAGATTGATATTTAACTCTCCTCAGAATCATTGCCTTACAAAAGATTTGTAAAAGACTGCTTTACAGTAATAGAATAGATATTGCAGTAAAGTGGAAAATAGTAATCATTTAGGTACAAATCACGGTCCCTTTCTTTTTATTTGCCCATAAATGATGACGTATTTACACACATGCCCTTAGAACTCACTATGTCAGAGCCTCCAACATTGACAAGTATGCCAAATGTTGATGTTGATTTGTTAAACAGTAACTAAATTTCTGGATATTGACAACCTCATATAAAAATATATATAAGAGGTAATATACAGCTATCAAAGCATATCTAAAAAGTGTGTGCTTATCACTCCTTTTTTCTATTTACCTTTATTTCATAGTATACCTCACAGTGGTATTAAAATTTATTAGGAGACATCAACAGAATATAAAATAAATAGTTATTTTTCTACCCCTGTAGCATGAAAAATCCTTAAAAGTTGGAAGGGATTTTAAAGGCTGTTTATTCTGGTTTCCAAGTCAATACAGGAATTTCCTCTTTTACCACCTTGACAGATGGCTGTACGAGTCTCTGCTTCAATACTCCTAGCAATAGGGAACTCACTTCTCTATAGATCCAATTGTCAGGAAGATCTACCTTATATTAAGTACCAATAGGTCCTTAATAATTTCCATGGCAGATCTAAAACCAAACTTGTCCTTCTTCCTCTCCAAACGATCTCCTTTTATGGTTCCCAGCCTACGACTAGAACCGGTCAACCCTGTAGAACTACACCTCATATAGCCCTCTTTTTTCCCCCAAGGATTTTTATCACCTATTTCTTGTATTATTGCAGTAGCTCTTCCTCTCAGCTCACACTTCATGGTTTATCACCCCCAAAATCAAGAATTCACTGGATGAAATCTTACACTGAGGCTCTATAACAACACAAAAGGACGGGCCTCCCCTGGCCTCCAAGATCAGGCTCTAACTCAGGGCCCCCATTTGTGTCTTCATGCTCCACCTCATCCCCTTTCCATTGCAAGTCCTATGGAACCACCTATGGTTAGTTCCCTGAGCATGCAGTAGTAATTCATACCCCAGTGCTTTCCCTAATTTTGTTACTTTACCTAAAATACTGTTCCTCCTTGGTCTACCAAGTGAAGTTCCACTAATCCTTCAGCGCCATGCCCTACGCTAGCATGCTATTCTTCACTGACCTTAGGCCAAGCTGATCCCTGCCCTCTGTGAGCCTCCACTGAACTTCTATCCATCTCAATCACAACAACTATTGCTTTTAGTGATATTTGTTTATATGTTCACTTCCTCACTAGAGAGTCAACTCCATGAAGTCATGCATGTTTGCAGCCTGATGACACAGCACAGAGCCTGATCTTAGGAAGCAGGATCTCCCTAAGTACCTGTAAGCACAGTGCAACTGCCCTCTGACCCCTTGCCACAGGAAGGAATGGGAGGAAAACAGGGTGTGGGGCGGGGGAGGGAGGAAGGAGTAGAGTACCTCCCACGCAATAGCAATTAACATTCATAGACTGCTAGTCCTGCCCCGAGTTTTGAAAACAGCTCAGAAATCAAGTTTTCATAGACATACATTCTTCAATTATTCTTAATGAGATACTTTTTATAGACATTTTACTCTCCTGATAGCCCTCCCTGCATGAATTCTATACTGAACAAAGTATCCATGCATTCTGCTCGACAAGGAAACAATATAACCAAATATTCCTGAAGTGCATATTGCAGCTAGACTTCACCAATGATTTTTTTTTTCAGGGGTTTTTGGACACAGGCTTGGAGTCTGAGAACCCCAGATTTGTCTTCAGTGAGAAAAGGATTCAATGTTGAGACCAAAGTGATAGAAAAGCAAGAGGTTTATTGATAGATAGGATGAAATCTAGGGTAGCTCTCCGAGCAGACAGAAGGGTCCAAGTGGGTCTCTACTGAGGTGGTGAGAAGTTGGTGCTTCTGTGGGTAGAGTGGTCAAGGAGTGGGAGTTTGGTTGTTGTGTGTCTCCACATTGTGTCTCTTGCTGATTAGCTGGGGCCGTGGGGTCTCCTGGGCTACTTAGGCCCACTGAGTTTGCACATATACCTGGCCTGCCTTCCCATTGCTTTAGTATTGTGTTATTGTGTTGGTGTTCTGGACATTACTGGGTTGCGGGGTAGGGGGCACCCTCTGATCCATGATTGTATTCCATTCAGACTGATAAATGAACCCAGGGCACCTGGGCTTGTGGGGTGTGTGCCCTCCTGGCTCCACTTACTGTTTCTCAATCAGGCTGAGAAGTGGACTTAGAGGTTTGGAACACTCTTTTCCTAACTGACCAATGATTTTTTTTCTCAAGAATTACCTGTCTTGATATACCAATTCTAGATTGGCACAGTACATGTACCTCATTCTTTAGAAACTTCACCTCCCATCATTCCCACAGCCCACATGGCCCTCCCTTATCCAGAGCTGGTGGATGGTTCAGATGCACCCCAACTCATCATATGGCCTAAATGGCCAGAGTTCCTCCTTTTAGACATCGAACAAGGAATGTAGGCAGGTGGCAGTGGGTCCTTGGACTATGAAGGCTACCTAAGGCTACTCTAAGATCAGCGCATACTTTCCATCAATTTGCATACTGAAGAGTAAGCAGAAAAAGCCAGTCAGTAGAAAAGAAACAGACTATTGGGACAGATACCCAGACAGAAACGGTAAGGGGCCCAGGGTTAAGAGGGGAGGCAAGGAGAAAGGAGGCAGGGGGAGACTCGGTCCCCTTGTGATTTCATGAGGTTTGCTGGGGCTTCTCCCCTGTGAGATGGCTCTACATCCCTTCACTAACCATGAGTGACTGACCTTCACCCAGGACACCTCACTCCATAAAACATAGAAACACCCAGTTTTGTTTCCTGGAAACCAGAGATACATGACCTCTTGGATGCTCATCTTTGTATTTCAGGAACCAAATGTTCTGTTTACTCCTAAAAAATTTAAGTTTTTGAATTTATCATTCCAGAATTTCAAAATTTCAGATGGAAACTTCAAAAAGCCTCCCATCATATCTTTAGTCAGTTCCTGGATCTCTCAGACCATGGGAAGAAAGAAAATGAAGTTTGTTCATCAGGTCAAAAACCCAGGATGATTCCATAATGTGATTGTTCTTTTCTTAAAAATCACTGGTCATTTATTTAATTATATAACCTTGAATTATTAAAACTAAAACATTTTCTCATCTCCAATCTTCTGGACGTTTTTCATTCTCCATAATTCTCCAGAGAGTTTTGCATTGTTTTACACTATTGCATTATTTTCACTTATCAGTTTGGTCCAGCACTTGTTGGAAAATAACTTTTTTGTTGTTGTCCAAAAAATGGATTTCTCGTAGGATTAGTAAGATTTGTTTGTTTGAGGCAATATTTTCCCTCATCAGCCCATGTGTGGTTACCTCCTTCATGTCCTAGACTCTGGTCTTTTATCCAGATCCATTTCTTCTTCAAACTGAAAGAAGCTAGGACTATCTCTACCAATGCCCAAGACTAACATTTGAAATATGTTAGCATATTTTTGCACTCATTTCTTCTCAAATTCATTCAATCTGGCTACACATGCAAAAAAAAGACAATACTAACACCAGCAGCTGTATAGCAGGCATTAGTTTAAATATTAGTGTCACATGTAATTCTCATAACAATGTGATAAAATAACATTATTAGTCTTCCCCATTTTTCAGATAAATATCTACAGCTTAGAGAGATCACATGGCCTGCTAAATGACTCCTCCTTTGCAAGTGTTAGTACTGAGACTTGTATCCAGCCATGGTGGATGTCCTTTATTACTTCTATTTTGATGAGGATAGCGAAACAAATGATGAAATCCCTTCTATTCTCTTAGTCATTTTGCTCACATAAATTTTGCTTTGTCATTCTTTTTTATAATTGTTAATTCTATTAATAATATCACTAAAGTCTTAATGCTAGTTGAAAACTACAAACCTCAGATAATGGGATGCCTCCCAGCAAGAGCATTAATACTCCCAAACACAGCAATTAAGCACGCCAGCCGTTGTTAGATCCAGCGCCTCAAATTATGCGTTGTAAGTTGGCTACTCAAAACTCCAAATACATTTGTTCATTGAAATAATGTTTTAGAGGGCCTTCCTCATGGCGCAAGGGGTTAAGCACAGCACTACGAAGCTATCTGCAGCATCTGCAGCATGAATTCGATCCTTGGCAGGCCAAGGAGCTACCCACATGGTGCAGCAGACCTCTCCTGTGTCGCCTGCTGCTTCCCTTAGCAGTGTATTTCAGTCAGTCTGCCTGTTCTGCTACCCACTCTGTCTTTGGTGAATTCTCTTATCCCCCCACACCTCAGGCCTGTACATCAGTTCTTGTATGCATAAATAATCTTTAAAAAAAAAGAATGTTTTAGAGATGATCCATCCACATAAAAGTAAATTTTCTACATAAATAAAATAATTGTACCCAAGACTTTTATACAAGCAAAACACTGTATTTTAGCTACACGTTCTTCTCCAGTCTTCGCTGATCCTAAAAATTGTCCTGGGATGATCGTAGTGCTATCAGCATGGAACTCATTCACATTGAAGTTTAGGTGTAAGGTTTTTGCACAACAGGAAACACTTATTGTGTGCATGTCTGGTATCAGGCTCTTGGATGAGGGACTAGGGAACACAATGGCTCTAGGCTGATAGGGTGGTAGGATGGAAGAGACTAAATGGGATTTCAGACTTAGCTGAACTTTGCTACTGATATGGCTGTGACCCAATCCAAGCTCATATTTTCAATGGGTACAAGAAAGCAGATAGAATCGGTACTAAGCCTGAAATCTTCAAAAGAGGTTGGAAATTATCTTCTAAGCTGTGCACAGAAGAAATTCCAATAAAGCGATTTTGATTAAGGAATACAAATTTGCCCCTAACTCAGTCAAAAAAGAGTTTATTCAACCTAAATGACCTTGAGGAGTCTGTTAGAAAGCCAAGTACCCACAGGCTCTAACTTCTTCCTTATCTGCTAAAGAACAGTTACCTGTGATATGAACTTCCATACATGCAGGTGATCTGCACTAGGAATTGTCAGAGTCCAAGGAAACGTTACTTTAACCACTTAGACAATCTTAGACTCACTAAATTGATGGTTGCCAGCATGTGCTTATGTTCTTCCCCAGGGGGTCAGAAAAATAGATTTAATTTTAATTCCTATTCAACAGATGTCCTCAGTGAAAATAATATAACAGCCTCTTATTCCAATTAGCCCATGTTTAACTGACAGGTCTGAACCAGACTGACTGATAAAGGTAATATATGCTCTCCTTTCCCCAGGGATCCCCCAAATCTTTCAGTCTCTGATGGTTCATCTGGACTTAAGCTTAATACATCTCTTAAATTCAAATGTCTAATAAAAAATGTGTGCACATGCAAAACAATTTACACAAATGTTTGACTCATTATCTATAATCATAAAAAATGCCATTGTCTTTAAAGTAGTAAATTGATACAGCAATTGTGGTACATTCACACGACTACTTACTATCGAGCAATAGAAAAACACAAACTTCTGTCATATAACGACATGGATGAATCTCTGATGCATTATGCTAAGTGAAAGAAGCCAGACTCCAAAAGGCTACATATTCTATGATTCCACTCATGTGACATTCTGGGAAAGGCAAAACTATAGGGACAGAAAACTAACTAAGGATTGTCAGGGACTGGAGAAAGGGGAGGATGTTGATCACAAAAGGGAGCAGGGGCACTTGGGGAGGTGATGAAATTATTTTGTGCATTGATCCTGGTGGTGGCCACTCAAGTGTGTTTGTCAACTCATAGAACTACATACTAAACTGAGTGAATTTTACTATATGTAAATTATACCTCAGTGAACTTGACCAAAAATCGCTTTAAAATATTATTGTTTTGTAAAAAGAAAAAGGCTATTGACTGAGATTACAGTACTCTATTGAGAATGATTAAATTGTTAGCTAAATGGAGTTGGGACTGGACAACATCCACCCAGCGGGGCAAACTGGTTGCTATTCTGGGAAGCTACTGAAAGCGTTTGTGGGAAGAGCTTTTCAAACTCATTGATTTCTGGAACTTGTTGGTAGTATAGTTTGGGGTGCAAAGGAATGGATAGAGTAGAAGCCATGCTTGGTGCCTTTAGGTAGTGCCCTTCAGTGGCCCCTCCTCTAGGGTAAAGGGTAGAAGAATGATCAATGGCTGGAGTAGGATGTGATGTTTATGTAATTTCCAAGTGCTTCCACAAGCACTTGGATGTGCTTCTCACATCAACTTTTTCTTAAAGCTTTCAAAGCAAAGGTTGTCATCCATGATGTATAGGAGATTATGCATGGCTGAAGGGATGTGACTTAGCCAAATCATGGCAAAGTAGTAGACTATAGTCTGGGCACGAGGGCTTCTGAATTCCTACTTACTTGTTTAATGATTGGGTGGGTGATAGTGGTGATGGTTGACATGATATTTAAGCTCTTCATCCTGGAGGTGAATCCAGCATCAAAACAAGAAAGACTGGTAAGAGAGAGATAAAATTGTTCTATCATGGTAAACATAAAAATTACTGTTGATATCCAAAAAGAGACAGAAAGTGAACGTGAGGATTTTGTCCAGAATAAGGACTTACATAAAGCCAAGTATCTGACTTCAAAGTGTATAGCTCAGGGCAAAATTCATGTATTTTGACTCCACAACTGAAAACATCTGCATACCTAACATTCTCTTGGCAGGCAGATGCCCTGGTGTGTGCGATTTCCATAATGGCTAAGGGAACCAGCAGAGGCACAGAGTTGTTGGGTATCTGTTTGCCATATCTGAAATCATAGACTCCCTCACAAAAGAATAGGAAATAAATCACATCTTTCAAAAATCTTCCTGGTAACGTAGACCCTGCTGCGACTTTGCACGAGAAACATAGATCATGTAATGTGTTTGGTTGGCATAGAAACAGCCTTAAAATTTTTCAAGCCAGAAAGGTCAGAATGTTAGGAAGTTTGTAGCAGGGAAAATTCTTGCAGTGGCTGCTGATAAGCTAAACATCCTAACGAGAACCCCCGTCTCTTTCTGGCAGGATGCCTGACAGAGTCCTGTGAGTCTGTGACTGTCACTACGAACGATGGCACCCTCACGTCACACCCTGCTTAAAGACCTGAGGTTCCCCAGCATCTGCACAGGAAACTGAGGCCCGGAAACGATGAAAGAGGGCTGAGTGAGTGGAGGGTAGATAGGAAAGGGATGTGACAAGGGCTGGGTGTGCCTCGCCACAAATCACACTGATTTCTCAGTCAGCCCTGTCAGAGAAAGGGAAATCGTCAGAAGTGGCTGGATTCACCCTATTGCCTCCCTACATTCTGGAAAATAGTATCCCCCTTTGCTTTCCACAGCCTCGACTTTCTTCATCGCCCCTGGCGACAGGCCCACTCCTTCAGAATAAAGGGAAGAACAGGGTCTTCTCTGTTTTCTTTTTTTTTTTTTCCCCAAAGATTTATTTTTATTTATACAAGAGCTAGGGTACAGGCCGGAGTCCTGGGAGGGTGAGAGACAGAGCGGGGAGCAGAACAGGCAGACAGACCGAAAACACTGTTGAGGGGAGCAGCAGGTGAGGCAGGAGAGGTCTGCTGTGCCATGTAGGATTCTCCCTGGCTGGCTGGGAATTGAACCCACGCTGCGGAGTCTGTAGACAGCTTCACAGCGCTTCGCTCAATCCTCTGTGCCACCGGGGAGGCTCTCTTTTCTGTTTTCTTCTTGGTCCACCAGGTTAGGGAGGGGGTTTATGAGAGCGAGATGAGATAGGGCAGGGGCATTTGAGGGGAGCATATCAGAGGGATACTAAAACAAGTCAGCCCAAGGACTCCAAACATATTAACAGCCATCACTAATGTTTCATCTCTATTCTACCTGCAAACGACCGTGGGCTCCTGCATCTCACTTGAACCAAACCCAAACTGTGAAAACCCAGATTTTTTTTTCTTTTTTTAAAATATTTATTTATTTTTTATATAAGAACTGGAGTACAGACCAGATGCATGGGAGGGTGAGAGAATTCACCGGAGACAGAGTGGGGAACAGAACAGGCATACTGAAGAAATACACTGCTGAGGGGAGCAGCGGGTGAGACAGAAGAGGTCTGCTTCGCCATGTGAGATTCTCACCAGCTGGCGGGGATCGAACCCACGCTGCAAAGGCTGCAGACAGCTTCACAGTGTGGTGCTCAACCTCCTGTGCCACTAGGGAGGCCAGATTTTCAATGAAAAAAAATATGGACTGATAATCTCTAAGACTTTGAAAGTTTTCTTAAACACCCCCATTGGATGACCAGCTTTTTCTGGTGCATTCTATGTTTTCTAAAATTCGATTTTCTTGGAGCTCTTTGGAACCACATCTGTTGGGTAAAATGAGTCACAGCTGCAACAAAGACAAGGTTCCTGGAGTGTCCTTGAGTGTCCATTTCTTCCACCATTTACTATAATACTTGTGTATTATAGTGCTAATATACCACTTAATACAGAAGTAATGAATGTGAGAGGCAGGCTGAGCTGAGCAAAGACCTCTGTCACAGGCCATAATGGTAGCTGCAGTATTATTCCTGGCAAGGTTTACAGGGTGATAATAAATGCTTCTCTGGGCTAGAGTCAGTCTGTCGCTCCCATAGCAGAATAGAAGGCAGCTTTCCAACTTTTATGGAAAAGGGGGAGGGGAAAATAAGGTGGCAGGAGGGGTGAGCTTCCTGTTCACTTTACTTTCCACATCTCTGGGTTTTATGGGACCCATGAGAGTGAAGAAAGTGCATGCTCTATGAGTAAAATAAAGCATGCTTATTGCCCTTTCAACCTTATGTTCTTAACCCTATTTCTCAAGTAGTGGTCAATTGAACCATTGAGTATGGCTGTGCCCAGAATGTATGTTACAAGGGCAAAACATTAAGAATCTCTGACTTTACTCAAATCCTACTTACAACATTCAAACCACAATACAGCTGTAGAAATGATCAGCTAAAATGCTTAGACTCACCAAAACTGCTTCAATTACAACAGCCAGTCATTCATGCTACTATTTTTTGAGCACCTACTGTGTGCCAAGCTCTGCCTGAGGCAACAAGGAGCTCACTGTGAATTCTACCCCTAATTCTAGTCTCAAAAAGTTTGTAGTATAATTCGGAGACAAATACATGCACAATCAGAAGGGTATGTAATAAGGGCGAAAACAGAGGCACAGAATAGTTGTAACATAGAGAAATGAGTGAGCAGCTTTGATGAAGGAAGGAAATTCCCGAGAATGCTGCTTCAATGCTGCTTTGGGAGAGGAGCAGAAAGTGACAGAATTAGGAGTCCTGGATTCTAGGCATTTTTTGCTGCTAGAATATTTTCAACACAAAGAATACTGAATTTTCCATCAAGAGGGTTGCCAATTTAATTTTTCCATGAAAACATATACCTGCACATATACCACTGGTCCTTCATCTTGCCACATTGATAGCAATCATTTTTTGTTCTATCTTCCCAGGTCATGGATGCATTCAGATCTAAATTCCAAAGGTTAATCTAGAGCAAATGTTCCTAATTTCTGTGATTTCAAGCACTCTAGGGAAATATCTAGGGTAGTAAGTGAATAACAATTAACAATATTTTCCCATCTGATTGGCAGATCATCTGGTGTTTGCTCTTTAAAATTAATTTAGCTTTCTAGTAAGGTTATCTTGCACACTTTCCAGGGTCCCCTGATATAAATAGACTAAGCAGTAAGGAAGAAATCAAAATAAGTGTGCATTTGTCTGGAACATGGTGACAGCTGTGCAGAGAGGAGGAGGACAAATAAATACAAGAAAACAACAATTAACAGAAAGCTTTAGGACATAGCTAGTCACTACAATATCTTTATCACATCAAGTGATTGGTTTTGTGGACTGAGTTAGAAATTCAGGTCAAGGTAAAGGAGAAATTATAGTTTGCAGTGAAATGATGGAGGTATTTGGCCTTCCTAATGTATTTTTAAAAGTCACTTTAAGCTTGGTAAATTTCTTTCAGAAAGAAATAAAAAAGAAAACCTCTGCATTGTTAGTCAATAGTGAAAAATGGGTCTAATCCAAAGTTGTGGGGAGCATGTACATGCCAAAGGCACATTGTGGATCATGAATGAAGATTTATCAACCTAAATACCTTATTTCCTGACTTTTTTTTTTAGCAGAATGCTCCTAGCCTCACAATATTTACCTTTATTTTATATGTAAATGTAGATCAATATACTCTTTTTGATATATATTCTGCTAAACCACAGGGAAGGTAGTATGACCAGCTTGGATGGCAGGTCACCCATGAGGAGAAGGAATTTCTGAACATAAGTAGTCATATATATTCTGACTAAAGGAACCGTGGGACTGGAAGTGCTCTGTACCTACAGTCAAAGCACAGTATCTACCCAATGCCTGACATGATCTAGCTCCTTCATTTACATATGATGTGTGGGTTTGGGGTAGGAAAGAGCAAAAAAGAGCAATCCTCCCTTCTCCCACATATATTCTCAGGGCCAATGCCACCTTCTCACGGCTAATTCGGTTATTAGCAAGACACAGTCTTAGCGAGTTATGGGTAAATGATATTCTCATCCACCTGTAAAATGTCAGAGGGGCATTTTCAAGAGATTTTAAGATAGGCTCCCCCCAGTCCCGAGGGATGAGCATGACCCAGGAAGTTGTTGGAAAAGTAAGTCTTCAGACCCTGCTAACCTCAGAATGGCTGCACCAGAAAGGAAGGGGAGGGGTCCAGAAAGTTGTGTTTTAATAAGTCCTCCCTGTGGTTCTGAGGCACTCTCGTCTGAGAACCACTGTGCTAGCAAGTGACCTCAAAAGATCAGCGAGGATAAAGACAGGTTTGCTTAAACCTCATGTGATATATCTCTTCAAGTGAAAAGACTGCAGTAAGAGTTCAGTATGTGTTTAAAGAATTTTCATTGCAATTAAAACAAAGGCCAAACATAATTTTCTTATCTAACTAATTTAGAGACTCATATGGTAAGCCTGTTTTACCATTAAGTTTAAACTCAGGTCCAGATTAAATCTTTTTTTCACTCCCTGGATCTCAAAAAATGCCCAGAAGACAACCACAACCTGAGTTTGGGAAAGACAATAAAACAATCATTGTATTAACTGAAAAGGATGGCCAGCAAATATTGATTCGTTATCCTGAAAGATAAAAGCATCAGTAGATTTTGAAAGAATTTGGTTAGAAGTCACTTTCTCCCCTCCTCTTTCCTTTTACACACCCCCATCTTTTTCACCACACCCACACGTTTCCCTTAGAAGCAGAAAAAGTCCCATCCTTGAAAAGCACAGGCGTCCCTCCCAAGCCCATCCAGTTAGGTAAGCAACCCTCTCTCTGAGGCCTTCCTGCATAAGCCCATTCAGGGTTGCCCAGCAGCCTGGGTTTTTGGCCTTTAGAAGTGGTGATGGATTCATTTAGAACCAGGGGCCACCAAGCTGGGAGCTCAGGTGCTGCAGAAATGGCAGGTGGTTGGAGCTGACTTGACAGCAATTAAATGTACAAATCTTTGATTAGGCTCCCGGGAATGGAGTCATTAGCAACCCTGAACGGACCAGCTTGCTTTCCACCGCCTCATTAGCTGCTCCACTGATGTTACTTTAAAAAGCCGAGGGGAGGAAAAAAAAAAACCTCTCCAACACAGGATTAGGAAAGTTGAGTGACAAAGCAGGGAGGGAGGGAAGAAGTCAGTGTAAGCATTTCTAGCTGAACAAACAGGTCCCCTGCTTTTTTGCGGCGTGGTCGCTGACATGAACGTGTATGTTTGCTGGACTGTGAAATAACCCCATACCTGCCTGATTAATTTGCCAAAGAGGTTTTTATTTTTATTTTTTTTTAATCTGCTCTTTCAAAATCCTCAGTTGATTCACTTTTCCCAACCAAAGTCTCAGTAGAGTGGGAGTCTTTCTCTGGAGCGCAGAGTTCTGAGCTACCACTTCCTAGTGTGAGGGGTCCACATCTGCCCTTTGGAGGCCACCTAATCTCATTGCTAATATTCTGTTCCCACTGTGGTTCTGGCTCCCTCCGTGATCCAAGTTGAGATATACCTGACTCACCCCAAGTTGTTAGAGAGGTAAAGCCTGTCTGAAAATAGTCATAGAAGAAGTTCAATGATTTTTGCAACTGGAAGATTTCTTTAAAAAAGAGTAATGCGTCTCATAAGCTTAATATAAAATCCTGTGTGACTATTTATTTGATATGAATTTAATTAATTCTATAATTTATTTTTATTCTCAATCTGCCAGTCTCTGGATTAATAGTTATAAAGCACAGTTCACATGTATTTATTGATCATCTATTATAAACCTCATATTAATTACTATAGGGAAAGTATGGGTGAGAGGACATAGGATCATTGGCTTTAGAACCATCTTATACAAATTTCCTCATCTATTCACTTAATTATTA